CATTCCTCTGTAGCATCTGGTCCCCACTGGACCCTCATTATTTCCTTCACCTGCTCCTCCCACCGACCAAACTGTGCAGCTCTCCAACTGCATCCTGGCCCATCCTTACCCTTCTGCCCCCAACCCTCACCTCCTTGTACCCCCAATATGTTTTTCCCAATAAAAAAAATATTAAATTTAAAAAAAATGAAAGGAAATCAATGGAAAACCTAGTCATATCCATATGCAATCTCAAGATTAGTGACTAGTAATAAACCAGATTCATTTCTTAATTTACACAAATGTAACATGAAAATAAAATGTAACCTGTTTGGGGTCATTGGGGGAGGGTTTACAGGAACTCTATTAATTTTTCAACTTTGCTGTAAAACTAAAATTGTCCACAAAGTTTCTTTTTAAATAATGCAGTGAAAAATTGAGTCAATACACTGATCCCTCAGTGAGAGGTGGACAGCCTAGCACCTGTCCTATGACCCTTCCAAAGAAAACTGCTTTCTCTGTGGCATTCATTGGCAAGGCTGGCTGGTTTTGTACAGTGTGACCTCATCTCATTCTTCTCCAGTCTGCTCCACCCCTACACTGATTGGGCCATGCACACACTAGTCAACGCATAGAGTGAATCTGTAACCTGTTAGGGCCTGTGTGAAAAGATAAGCTGAGCAAACCAAAGCAGTCAGCAGTGAGAGAAAAATCAGGAAGGATAACATGAGACATGGTGCTGGGAAGCAGGCAAAACTGAGACACAGATACAAAGCAGATGCCTGTTGGGTGTATGATTATCTTAATCTGAGCCATCAGAGATTGATCAGGAGGTGGAGGCATCAGTGGGGATTAGAAGGATTAAGACATAAAGGTCCCTTCGACAGTGGGCCCCAGCCCACGACTGTGAGGGTGGTGTGGGATCGTGCAGTGTTTGGTTATGTTGTGCATTAGGATAGCTGAGTCATAGCCAACTCAGTCCCACCTAACAATCATTTTGTCCCTGAAAGTACCTACTTTGTACTCAGCTAGGATTGGCACTCTCCTCCTGTGTGATTTCCTGCCTCTGAAAACCCACTGCTGGAAGGTCAGATAAAGGTTGGGTCTGACTCAATAGGACACAGTAACAACTAACCAAAATGTGGGCAGTTGGAGCCCCTTCAGTAGCGCCACAGAGAAATATCTGGCAACTTGATTCTGTAAAGATTGTCGTTGTTGTCATTATGTGTCATTGAGTCATCTATGACCCATAACGACCCTATGTACAAGCAGCTCTGAAGCCTACCCTGTCCTGAGCTAGTCTCAGTGATTCAAACACACCAATCTCCATTGTCCCAGTTACTATATCCATCCATCTCATCCAGAGTCTTCCTCACCTGCACTGTCCCTTTACCCTCCCTCTCCAGGGCAGACTTGTTTGTTTTCTTGGGGTCCATGCTATGTTCAAGACTCTACTCCAGCACTGCAATTGGAAGGCATCACTTCTTCTTCTGTCATCCTTAGTCGTTGTCCAGCTCTCTAATGAATAGCAACTACAGCCAAGAAAACACTATGAAGCAGTTTTACTCTAACACATAGGGTCACTATGTGTTGGAATCCATGGCTGTGCTGTAATTGTTAGATACTGGCAAGTTGGTGCTGATTTGTAGTAACCTCATCCACAAGACAGCAAAGGAGCACCTGGTCTGTATCATCCTCACAAGCATTGTTACGTTTGGTTGCAGGCATTGTGTCATTCAATTTCCTGAGGTCATGACACAGGAAGCAGACTCCCAGCAGAGGCGGCGCTCTCAGAATGCAGGTCAGCGTGCTGACAGACATGCCGGGGGTTGGGAAGCTGAGTCTGGTTATGGGCTATGAAATGGTCAATTACCGTATTTAGTGTTTCAAACAGTGGAGAGCCTGTCCCAGAGCAGAGGGCCGGGCGGATCCTGAGTGCAGGCTGCCCGTGCTGGGTGTCCACACCGCCCAGGCTGCCCTGCGAGACCTCGGACGGAGTGGGAAACGTCAGTTACCAAGGGTCCAGCTGTCGGTCAGATCGTGAGACCGTGATGGTGGGGCGGGGCAGCAGGCTGGAGGGGCTTCGGCCTCCTCGTCATTATCGCTTAGGGCCCCATGGGAGGGTCTTGGGGGCCACCTGAGCCCCAAAGCTGGGGAACTCTTCAGAGCTGCTCATGTCCGGAGCCTTCTCACTGCTGTTGGCTGTCCAGGGTGCGTCTCGTACCACGAAGCCCTTGGATGGGGCCTTGGACTCTTCATGTGTTGGGGGCTTCATGTACACCTGCAGTGCCTCATTGTCCACCACGTCTGCCAGGTATTCCTCCTCCAGGTTGAGGATGTGGTCGATGGCTTCCTCTACATTCTCAGCGAGGCCTGTCACGGTGACACAGTTGGGGTCTGGAGCCCCACTTTGTGGGAAGCGGATATCCACCTTGAACTCGTCCATGACCTTGCGGATGGCCTTGCCACGGGCGCCGATGATCCGAGCATGCACACGGTGGTCCAGTGCCACGTCCTCTGAGACCATCTGCTCGAGTTCACCCACAATCTTGAGGATGGCATCGCGGGCCGCCTCTGTGTTCTTCTCATAGCCCGTGATGGTGATCTGCTCCTGGGGCTGGCTGCCGTCGTCCTTGTCAGGGAACTGGATGCTCACGTCGTGTTCCAGACGGATCTGTGTGATCACGGCCCCGTTTCAGCCAATGATTTTGGGGTGGTATTTTGGGTCTCAACCTTCTTTTAAACATAGAACTCCATACGACCTAGCCAAGTCACAGAAGTTGATTCAGGAAGTCATCTTGCAATGCCAAGATTAGTTTTTAAGCTTCTCACTAGTTGAAATGAGGCCACAGAAATTAAAGTCAGGCTTCAGACCTTTTGTTTATTGGGTCACTATCAGTCATGCTCTACTTGAAGGCAATCAACAGAACAACAACAATTGAGTTAGCAATCAAGAGTGGCATCCACTTCCTAAACAACATGCCTCTAGAAATTCTATGAACTTTGATAAATGTCAATAGTTATAGAAAGGCTTCAGGCCTTTTTTTCATAGGGTCGCTATGAGTTGTGCTCAACTCAATGGCAGTCAACAACTGGCTAGAGGATATACTAGAAAAATGAAACTCAACCTTTGGTTGAAAGTGATGGTGAACAAAGGTAAAGCCTTAAAAGTAAGGTCTGGAGTGAGTGGGGTGGAGGCTCTGTGTCAACTGTACTCATCCCCGACAAGTTCTCTACTAGTTTGCTTGCAAGTTGAGGTACTTAAGCTGGTGCCCACCGCCCAACACATTTACCTCAGCAATGCTGATGGAGATGATGAACACAGGGGGTGGGAAGCAGTTGGCTCTATCCAAGTATGATCTTCGGGCACTTTCAGGAAGCATCCATTTTGACACAATCCTGTGGACCTTTCTATCTTTGGAGAGAGGCTTACCTCCTCCATCGTCTCTCATGTTCTTTTCCTCCTCCAACTCTTCTTTCATTTCTCTCTCCATACGTGGGTGCATACTCTCCATCTCCAAATCATGAACACTGGCCATTGCCCTAGATCCGCCTTCTGCCTGAAAGAAAAAAGAATGTCAAGGGAAAACAAACGACTCTATAGCCCTTCTCCCTGAAGCTTCACTAACTGGGCTCCAAACTACATGTACTACAAGGCAGTTTGAGATGCTCAAAATGGTTCCCAAGCATTTATATTCATATTATCCATACTCTAATCCCCAACTGCATAACTCTAAGAAAGTACTATGTTGTTGTTGTGTACTGTCAAGTCAGAAATGACCCATAGCTGACCCTCCAGCAGGATTTTAGAAGCAGTTAATCACAAAGGAGAGGATTGCCCATCCTTCTCCCATGGAGCAGCTAGTGGATTTGAACCATGTGCCTTTGGGATTACAGCACAGTTCCTTGCCAGTAGGCCACCAGAGCTTTCTTAAGAAGTCCTATAGTCTCCCCAAAATGAGAAAGGACCTCCAGAGGTCACCTCTGGTTTTATCTATAGCCATAACCCAAAGAGATGGATTAGAATATTAGAATACAATCTAACTTCATATACAACTTCCTTCCTCTCTGCAACTGACATTCATTCATCTGTTAGTGAAAGGTAGTTCTGCCATGAGGTGATTACTGTCAGAGCCCAAACCATGCACATCATTCAACTTGGTTTTGTCTGGCTTAAGTGAACAAATGCAGTTTCCTTCTTAGTTTCATCTTGCTTTTATTCCCAGGTAAAACATAAGTCCCTAGGTTCTGATTTAGAATAAAATATCATTAATTTAGCATCTACTGTGTCAGGCACTATGTTGAGGGCCCTCACCTCCATTGACTCATTGGACCCTACAACAATCTCAGAAGATAGGGAATTATATCTCCATTTAGAGATGAGGAAACTGCACCTCTGAAAAAAAAAAAGGAAAGTACTAAATTATCTTCTCGCTTATAAGAATTCTTTCTGAAAAACCACAGGTGCCTATTCTGTACCTGATTTACAGTAAGGCTGTTCCTTACTGGTCCTTGAGGTCCAACATCAACATCAACACCCCGCAACTCTCTAACACCCTCAGTCCTTGTCTGTATTCTTTTTCCTTCCCACATCTACGGATCTTTCATCGTCATTCTTTCAACTCACTTCTCAGCATTCAATCATTTACTCAAGAAATATTTATTGGGCACCTATTAGGTATCAGGCCACCATCTCCATTCTCAGATGATTATAATATAGTAGAGAATACATATGTCAAATAAAATCTGCATACACAACTGCTGTCTAACTAGAGCTGTGCTAGGTGAAGTCAAGCAGATGAACCAGATACTGAGCCAGCATGAAGATGGGATGAGACCTACCGACATGTATACCTATTCCTATGCCATTGTGCTCTCTGAGAGCTCTTTATCTTTTACATTTTGCTTTGTTTCATTTCATTAACTCCTGATTAAACTATTTCAATCACTCAGTCAAATGTTTTGTGGTCAAAACAAAATCCTGGAAAATATTAAGAAATAAGGACAATACAAAACAAAAGTGCTTGGATATATTGAGACAAAAGATGATGTTGCAGAATAATACATGGAGTACAATCCATTTTATATGTGTCTTGCTACAAAAAGAAGAAAACTGGGGCATCTCATTACTATAATTACCTCTGCAGCAAAGATTTTGTGCATCCCCCCCACACACACACACTTCTAGCAGGAGCAGGAAGAAAACTTGAGAGTGAGGGAGAGGCAGTGGTTAAGCCCTTAAGTGATAACTTAAGGTCAGGGATTCAAGCCCATCAACTGTTTTTGAGGGAGAAAGCTGTGACCAGCTGCTTCTGTCAAAATTCCCAAATGTACTGGCACTGAGTCAATTCTAAAGTATAGTAATCATTGAGGACAGAATAGAACTGCAGTTGTCAAGGATTACTTGGATCCACAATCAACACCTTGGCAGCAGCAGTCAAGAAATCAAAAGACTTGCATTGGGAAAATCTGCTGTCAAGGACCTCTCCAAAGTACCAAGAGAACAAGGATAACAATTGTAAGACTAAGGTGTGTCTGATCCTAGTCATGGTATTTTCAGTTGCAGTCACTGCTCCTCTTGAAACCACTTATCTCCTTTCTATCTCTATGGATTTACCTATTCCAGCTATCTTACAATATTTATGTTATCTTTTCTATCTGGCTTCTTTCACTTAGTGTAAAGTTTTCAAGATTATGCTAAGTGAAATAAATTGTAGCATATACCAATACACCATATTCTGTTCATAATTCATATGTAGATGGATTCGTTAGATAGAATTGTTTCTATCTTTTGCCTAACGTGATGAGAACTGCTTGGAACATCTGTGAACAAGACTTTGTTTGAACACCTGCTTCCATTATCTTGTTTATATACCTAGGAATTTAGTTGCTAAGTCATATGAAAAGTCTGTATTTCATTTGTTAAGAAACAGATTTCATTTTCAAGTGGGGGTGATGATATCACTTATCTCACTGCATTGTTTGGAGAACTGGTTGAGACAATGAATTGAAAGCATTTAGGACAGTGTCTGCTATTGTTGTTAGGTGCTGTTGAGTCGACTGTGACTCAGAGCAAGCCTATGAACAACAGAGTGAAACCTTATCCTATCTACCATGTAGAAATCACCTAGCACATAGTGAAGACTCCAAAATTATTAGCTATTTTTGGCTATGGATGAAGAGGTGGTGGATGAGTGGGTGGAGGATGGAATAATGAGAGATGGAGCTAGGGCCCATTTTCACACTGAAGGTTACTGGCAACTGGGTCATTAAATTTCTTTTAAAATTAATTTCATTAAGCAAGATGCCAGGTTATAGTAGTTTATATTTAATTTATATTTAATAAAGTCAGAGAAGAACAGAATTATCATTTTATTTTCCTTTCCCTCAGCAACTTTTCTGAAAACAAAAGCTTATTCTACACTCCTCAATCTTCCTTTCCAAGGTCAGACATTACATCTGTAAGATTATCTTATTCATTTTCTTTGGATTCACTGAGTGCCACTAGTTTTGTTGTTTCTCATAATTGGCATGTCCACAGTATGAATTCAAGAACAGCACTTTCACCAACAAATATGGAAAGATATATAAAATAAATTAATTAGAAATAATTAGTTATTATTGAGCTATATTATAAATTCTAATACTGTACATAGTCATTTCATAGGAAAATGAAATTCTATCTTGATTACAAACAAACTTTATAAAAGCATCTAGTAAAATAAAGATCACATTTTGCCCTACATTTTCCCTTTCCTCCAAATTTCACATATACCAATGATTTTACAACTCTAAGCCCACTCTATTTTAGGAATTCATAAAAAGGAAAAAAAGCACCAAACTGTTGTATCGAGCGTCAAGTCAATTCTGACTCAACTCCATGTGTACAGAGAGGAATTGCTCCACAGGATTTTTCAAATCTGTGATCTTTATGAAGCGGACTGCCAGGCCTTTCTTCCGGGGCTCCTTTAAGTGGATTTGAACTACTATCCTTTTGGTTAGCGGTCCCTCACTTAACTATGTGCACCACCTCAGGTTAGGTATTTTAGTGAAAGTTATTTACTGTGCTGCAAAGATAATCTGACTTGGATTTAGGCAAGACTCACTGCTTTCTTACTTGTTTGCACTGTTACTTGGCAAGTACAATGAAGATACCTAACATGTACTAGTTCTGGCTACTTTAGGCTCTAACAAGTAAACATCCTACCCTGCCTCTTTTACCCCTTAAAGACTGGGATAGGATTGGTGCACTTGATCTCAAACACTGTCACATCTCAACTTTTATTTATTTATTTATTTATTTCTCATTTCAATGAACATCTACAGAGATTTTGGAATTCCATTCATTCATGGTTGCACCCTTGTCCCCGCCCACTCCCCCTCCCGCCCTGTTTGCTCCTCTCCTTGAAAAGCAAAAGAAAAACTCCCTCATTGGTACACAATCCCCCCCCCCGCACATCCCCCCAACAACATCCCCAACCCCAAATATAATCCACTCTGCAACCGTCATTCCGTACTCTTACGATAAACATAATGCCCTAAAATAAAATACTTTTAAACTATTCTCTCCCCCATAGACTCATTTATCTCTTCCCTGTCCCTTGTCTCTCCAACACCTGCTTCGATGATGCTCAAAGGTGTTCCTTCCAGTCTCTGACATTCCCAACTCTTCACACTCCTGGTTTTTCATCTACCTCCACATTTGACTTTCTAAATTCAGTTAACCAACTTAGAAATATTACTAATCAGACTGGCAACAGTGGAGGAGACTGACAATAATAGCTATGTGGAATTAATAAGTCTGTCAGGGAGAGGGAGAAAACAAGTTTCTCCTGGGAGGCTAGGATTTTGAAGCTCTGTCTTACATACTTTGGGCATGTGGCCAGGAGACACCAGTCCTTGGAGAGGGACATCATGCTCGGAAAGGTGGGGGGACAGCGCAGGAGAGGAGAGGATCCCTGGGGGAATGAAGGTACGTTTGTGAGAGTCAGTGAGATCGGTTCAGGACAGAGCAGTCTTCAGAGCTGTTGTACATAGGGTCACTACAAGTCACAGGTGACTCAGTGGCACATAATAACAACAACAACATGTAAAAATTTAAAACAAAACAAAAGGCCACTGCCAAATGAGCATACAGTCCATCTTGAAGGAAGTGCAATCAGGGTTCTCCCTAAAGGCAAGGATATCTCACATATTTGGGCATGTTGTCAGGGGGGCCCAATCCTTGGAAAAGGACATCAGGCTGGGAAAAGTGTAATTTCAGAGAAAAAGATGAAGACCCTCAACAAGATTGATTGGCACAGAGACTATGACAAGGGGTTTGGGCACATCAGAGTTGGTGGGTGTGGTGTAGGTTAAGGCAAGGTTCAACTCTAGTGTTCATAGCATCACAATGAGTCATGGTTCCACCTAACAACAACAGTGTGGAAATTGGCACATTTGAAAGGATGAAAGGCAACTGGGAAGCACCTATAAAATATAAAAAGTACATTCTCTCCAATAGCACAGTCCTACTGTAGAAAGCTAGAAATGTATTTGAGCAAGTACACAA